TTCATGGGGCTCAGAGGGGTGCTTGCCTTCCAGGGGCGCACTATGTGTTCGATACCGCCTTCTCAAGGAACTTCAGTCTCCTGGAGAGCCAGCGAGAGTTTGTGCGGCGATTCCGAGCACAGGCCGACTCCAAGCACGCCCTGCCTGTGCTGACTTCCGCCTGCCCAGGTATGCGCACATGCTGACAGCACGTTAGCTGGACGTGGGTAGTGGGAATGCTGGGTGGGGGCGAGGAGGGTTCTGCCAGCCTAGGATGGTTCCTTTAGCAGAAGGAGCTACTCTGAGAGTCACCTGTAGTCACTTCAGGTCCCCAAGACAGTAATCACATGGGTGCTAGAAATAACAGAGGGGAGATGTTCTTTAGTGGGAGGGACTCCTTGTACAAATCGGTCCGCCCCCAGAATGTCATGTCACAGCCAACAGTGAGAGGTGACTTATGAGCCACCCCCATTTGTTCTGTGTTGGCTTTAGGCTGGATCTGCTATGCAGAGAAGACCCACGGGAGCGCCATCATCCCCTACATTAGCACCGCCAGGTCCCCACAGCAGGTCATGGGCTCCCTGGTCAAGGACTTCTTCTCCCAGCAGCAGGTAACAGGGACAGTCCAACCCTGAATGATTCAGTGGCATTGTCTTGAAAGATGAGCCAAGACCTGCAGTGTCCCAGAACCCACTGACAGACTCATGTCACTCCCTGGCTGTTTCAGGCCATGCCTGCAACGTCAACCTGTGTCACCCTAATGGGACCCCTTTACTGCTGGGACCAGGCAGTGACTCCATGTTTCCACATCTCTCTGTGCAGCATGTGACCCCTGACAAGATCTACCACGTGACGGTGATGCCCTGCTATGACAAAAAGCTGGAGGCATCCAGACCGGACTTTTTCCGCCAGGAACACCAGACTCGAGACGTGGACTGTGTCATCACAACAGGTGTGGGTCCTGCCACCCTGAGTCCCTGCACCTCCAGCTGGGGTCCCCTCAGCCAGGGCACAGCTCTGGCCGGAGCGGCCATCCCCTGTGCAGAGTGCCTCGGGGCTTGGAGCAAGGCAGGGGCCCTCCCACAGAGCCTGGTTGGCATTTGCAGCTGTCTAGTCTCAGGGACCCGAAGCACACGGCGCCCTCAGCATTAGTGTTTGTTCCAAAATAGTCTGTAAGGGGATGGGTGGAGAGTTTTGTCAGCCCTTCTGGCTCACGTCGGTTTCCCCATTTCTGAGTGGAGCAGCCCCACAGAATCTCCAAATGCTTAAAAAAAAAAAACTAGAAAAGTAAATGCTGGAGAGCTGAGTCAGAGGAAGGGCTCCATGCATGAGCACGTGCCCAGATGTGATGGCGCACTGTTGTGGGAGAGCCTGGGAACAGGTCGTTGGACCCTGCCAAGTCACCGTGGGGTGGGTGTGGTCCCAGGGCAGCACGGCAGCTCCCCTGATGTCTTCCGAAGTGGACCTTCCCTCTCACCCCTGTGGTCGGGTTTGTCCTCTGCCCACAAGCCAGGGAGTGGACATCGGGCCTCAAGTACCAAATTACAGGCTGTGAGGCAGGCAGATAACGGTGTCCTGTGACATTCTCGGTTTTTGCTGAGATCCCAGCTCACAAGCATCTGCTGTGGTTCCACCACAGGAGAGGTCTTCAAGCTGCTGGAAGAAGAAGGAGTCTCATTAGCAGAACTGGAGCCAGCCCCCCTGGACAGTCTGTAAGTCACTGCCTGCGCAGTAGAAGGGAGGAACCTGCATGGGGTATCAGGGCCCTCTCGATACTGGGGTCACAGGTGTCCTAGCAGGTAGCCGCAGCACACAGTGATGGGCAATGTCCCTCTCCCTACCTCCTCCCACCAGAGCTTCCTTCTGGTGGGTTCCACACCTGCCCTGGGGGTCTGTCTCAGTGTCCACAGAGGCAGTCATCATTGAAGCTGACCCCAACTTGATATAGATCTGAGGTCACCAGGTACAGGTGACTCAATGGAAGGGGACAGTCCTCTCCCACCTCTTGATACACCAACAAAGCTCCCAGGGGTCCATGACTCCTTACCACTCAACCATGAGAGACAGAGGCCACCTGGAAGCCTCAGCAGGTAACAGCCCCACTGCCACCTAGGGCCTTACTCTCTTCCCCAGGTACAGCAGCATGTCTGCCCAGGAGCCCACCAGCCATAGAGGTGGAGGCTCCGGGGGCTACCTGGAGCACGTGTTCCGGCATGCAGCCCAAGAGCTCTTTGGAATCCACGTAGATAAGGTCACCTACAGACCCCTGAGGTCAGTCAGTGGGAAAGGCTGCAGTTGGGAGCATCGTAAGCCCTGGGTCTCCTTGCCGATGTGGGTGTGGTGAAAGACAGTGCGCTGGTGTGGCACAGATCCCAAGGTCCTGGATAGGGGCTGGTCCCCTTCTCCAGCTTGCCTGAATGGGCTCTCTGGGCCTTGGTCTTCCCATTGTAGAGGTCAGTGACCCCTGCCCATACCACAGCAGTCCAGAACCCCAAGGGGCTAGTGGTGGCAGGGTGGTGTGCCCAGTACAGGAGGTCCCACTGGGACCTCCTGTCCCACAGAGGGAGGTGAGGGCTCTGACCTGCACAGCCATTCTTGGGGAGTGGGGTTGCCATTGTACAAACCAGGACACCGAGCCTGGGGGTGGAGTCACCTGCCAACTTGTAGAATTCAGCTTTCTGCCCTCCCTCCCTCCCTCCCGTCACTGCCCTCCCCCAGGGAGCTGGTAAGGTCGGCAGCCGCAGCTGTGGGGGTGGGGACAAGCGCTGTCTCTGCCCTCCAGGAACAAGGATTTCCAGGAGGTGACGCTGGAGAGGGAGGGCCGCGTCCTGCTGCACTTTGCTGCAGCCTATGGCTTTCGAAACATCCAGAACCTGGTGCAGAAGCTCAAGCGAGGGCGCTGCCCTTACCACTATGTGGAGGTCATGGCCTGCCCCTCAGGTATTCCTAACAGGCACACTCTGCACAGACGGTACAGGGGCCCCTTCTGGGAACATCCTGAAGGGCAGGAGGGGTATACTGGCATGTGAATGCCCTTCCCATGACCATGCCCTCACTCATCCTGCTCTGCCACAGGTTGCTTGAATGGCGGAGGCCAGCTCAAGGCCCCTGAGATGCCCGGCAAGGAGCTTTTCCAGCACGTGGAGAGGCTGTACAGCATGGTCAGGACGGAGGCGCCAGAGGACGTGCCCGGAGTCCGGGAGCTGTACCAGCACTGGCTGCATGGCGAGGGCTCGGAGCAGACGGGCTCTCTGTTGCACACAAGCTACCACGCGGTGGAGAAGGCCAGCTCCGGCCTCAGCATCAGGTGGTAGGAGTGCTCACCATAGCCACCGCCAGGACCCCAAGACCCCGGGGTTCACCTCTAAAATGCGAGGGGAGCTGCGAGGATGTGCTAGAACCCACACGGAGACAGGCCTCTGGGCCTACAGCCTGTGGAGGTGACGTCCAGCCTGCGCTCGCCCGGACCCCCCGGTGCAGGCCAGCGTTTCCACCGGGTGCTGGGACCTTGCCACAGGCCCACGTCCACGAGCGGTGCCCTTGCTCTTCCTGGTTGTGGTGACCCAAGTGTGTGGCAGTTTCAGCCAGTCCCATGAGGGAAACTGGGGTTCTCCCCCAGTTCTAGATTCTTCCTGAAGCTGGGGTAGAGATAAGCCGGACCCACTTGGCTGGTCCAGCGCACAGCCCAGCATGGGGAGCCCTACTGCACTTGGTGGCCAAGGACCCTGGCAGGGAGGGGTGCACAGCTTGTGACACCCGTGCTGGGGACACGGTGCCCACTCCACCTGGTGGTTCCACTGGAACCAGGTGTTTGTGTTGAGAAAGCTGTGGCCTCCGGGGCCAGAGAGCCTCAGTTCTTCACAACTGGACCCCCACTTACCAGGGCGAGGAAGGGAGGCAGAGAAGATGGGCCCTGCCTGTCAGGCCCACTCCTACTGAGCTCCGACTGTAATAAACGGGCCTCCCTCTGAAAACAGCGTCACTCTAAAAGCTTCTGCCAACAATGAAAAGGGCCTTTCAAAGCTTTAAAGGTCAACAGCCCAGTGCACTTTGCTAGACTTTTCCCCCAAACACTCAGGTCTTAGGGCTTAAGTGCACCGCAGAGAGGGACCCACGGGCCCACCACCAGGAAGTACCACAGTGCCCACCCTCCAAGGCCGGGCAGCCAGTTGGGTGGGGCTGGGACCTACTACCTGGCTCTACAGCAGGTCCACGAGGGACTCACTTTGATCACGGTGTGTTCAGGGCCACCCCTCTGCATCACCAAGAGGGCCTGGGACTGCGGCTGCCATGGTTCAGCCTGCTGGTCAAAGCCTGCCTGCTCCTTACAGCACATCTTCAGGACCTCAGCCGAGGCCACCTTCCCAGTGCATCTGCTCGCAGGCTCCTCTGCCGGGAGAGGGGGTGCTGTGGCAGCTCAAAGGGAACTACTGGGCAGGTGCTGGCAGAAGACACTTATTGAGCAGCTTCTCCCCAATGCCAGTCAGCCTGATAACATGGGTCCCCCAACACCTCCCTCCATGTCCAAATGACTGCCGGGGAGTCCCCACAAACTGTGGGCTGGCTGAGTCAGCCGGCTCTGAGGGGCAGCCCCTGGGGAGAGCACAGGACCTCCCAGGGCACACTGGCTCAGGCCTTGCCATACACTCCTAGCCTGCCTCACACCAGCCTCTGAAAAGGGTCGTGGAGGAGCTCTTCCCCCAGAGGGGATGGCACTGTGGGCATGTCATACCCACCCCTCTTCGAGTATAACTGCAGGTCCTTGCTATGGCCTTGTCTGAGAGCACCAGCCAACCTGCCTCAGCTCCAGGCTGGCCCTTGAGGGCAACCACTCATGAGCCGGTCCTACAGGCTGCCCCACTCCCTGTCCAAGGCCCCAAACCCTCCGCACACCAATGGGAGCCTCCGCTGGCCAGGATACCCCAGGCTAAGCCAGGTCTGGTCACCCTGGGCCAGTCAGAGCTGAATGCCCCTGCAGAGCTGCTGCTGGATCCCCACCACCCTCCAGCTCTCACCACTGGGAGGGGAGAAGTGGCTGTGCCTTGGCTCCTGACAGCTTTGCCTTCATGTGGACATTGCAGGGCCCCACAGACTCAAGGTTGCCAGTGTGTGCTCATAGCCACGGGACACCTGGCCGGGGCAGTTCAGTTGGGTGTCGTCCTGCAAACCAAAAGGTTATGGGTTCAATTCCCAGTCAGAGCACATGCCTGGGTTTCGGGTTTGGTCCCCAGTCAGGGTGCGTGCAGTGTTCAGTGTTCCTCTCTTCCTCCCCCTCTCTCTAGAATCAAAAAAAGAAAAAAGTTTTCAAAAAATAACACCTTCTGGAGAAAGGAGGCATGTGGGGGACACAACACTGCCACAGGCAGATAGGGGACGGGCACTCACCCTGGCTGGCCTGTCCAGGCCCATCCCCAGTCCCCAGCACCATCCTGTGCACCCATCACCACACCTAGTCTGCCCTGTCCTCCTGGCACAAGTTAGGTGCACAGCCTGTGGGTTGTGCTAGGAGGCTAGACCCCAAGAAAGGAGAGGGGACAGGCCACTCACTCTCTTGGGGCAGGGGTGCCCAGGGTCTCTGCCAGGCTCTGGTACATCTGCTGAGCCGTTCTCTCTAGGTGCCAGTTGGAGGGAGATGGGTCAGAGAAGCTGGAGCAGGTGGATGCAGGGCACCTGTATTGGAGAAGAGGACAGGCAGGTCGGAGATACTTGTCTTCCCACAGGAAGTAGCTCAGGTGGCTGGAGGTTGGCTGGGCCTCAGAAGGCAGCACACAGGATGGCACCAAACTGCCACAGATGGGCAGGTGGGTGGGTTAGGTAGGCAGACCCGGCACCCTTCTGGCCCTCCAAGGCACGTGCTCATGGGGAACTTCTTACCATGTTCCAGTCTGTGGGTCAGCGCACAGATGTGTTCATTGGCATCCAGCACCAGCCCAGGCCACAGATAACTCCATCTCTGCATGTCCTTGCTCTTGGTCCCTGCAGACAGGTGGGAGCAGAATCACACAGTGGCTAGGGTGGAGTGAGACCAACACCCTTGAGCCTCAGCCCACCCCAACCACACTCAACCGTGATGGTGAATGGTCAGTATGGTGGTCAATGATACCCCCTTCCAGCCCACAATCTCCAGCTGCTGAGAGGAATGGGAGTTAAGGAGTTGCAAATGCTCCAGGTGCCCCTAGCCCATATTGGGGCTCAAGGTCTGGCATGCACAGTCCCCCAGGCAGGCCGTTATGCTGTATGGGGGGAAGGTCCAGCAATTAATTACTAAGCTCCCAGAGTGTATGGAACAGTTAGGTACCAGAATAAGGAAAAAAGAAGGTAAGAGTGGTCTTAACCCCAGGGGAGACCCAAGGTACTATCGAGGAAACCTAAATGCAAAACAGCCACAGATTAGAGAGCAGAGGAAGGCTCTGCTCCAGCCAGGGTGGGTGGTCAGGCGGGGAGCCTCTTTGAAGGGGCACTGTCTGGCCAGTTGCTGCCCAAGATGCCTGGGCCCACCTCCTGCCCTCACCCTCTTGGGCATCGTCATGTCCTTGGCCACAGGCATCCACGTGTGCTCCTTGATGACTAGGTACATGTAGTTGTCCTCAAGCACAGGGATGACCTTGACGTTCAGCGTCGCAGAGCTCAGCCACCCCGTGCCTCCTCCAAAACAGGCCCACAGCCTTTCTGGCTTCCTCAGGGTGGGGCTTCCCTCTCCCAAATTTAGGCAGGGTTGTGCACTGTATGGGTCAGCTCCACAAGCATAGCACACACTAGGGGCCAGAACAGGAGACCTGCTCCCTGCCCCAGGGATTCCTGGGAGGGCCCGGGTGGAATCCCTCACGCCAGGTTCAAGCTGACCCACAGCTGTGGACTCTTGCCCTTGGTCACGCCACTTCTCGCTGCAGACCCTGCGCCTCTTGGGCCACGCCCCCAGTTTGTCATCTCTGCCACACCTTCTCCCCAGCCCCACCCCAGCCTAAATCTGGGACCTGGCGAGCCACGCCTCCTCCAACGGGCCCCGCCCCTATGGAGGCTTGCCCCGCCCTCCCGACACCTCCATGGGCTGTGGGATCCCAGCTCCCTTCCCCCGCCGCCCACTTAACCCTCTCCGGCTGCATCAGCCAGCTTGTGGACGGCAGGAGGGGCGCCTGACAGAGGCGGACTTCGGCACTGCTCACGGGACCTAGACAGAGCACACTGTTCAGCTCTGCCGCTGCGAACAGGCCCCACACCATCCGGCTTTGCTCCTAGCAGGGAGCTCCTTCCCTCAGACTAGGGGATGCGGGGATCTGTCCAATTTGTTCGTTTACCGTCTGCCCATCCCAGCGCTCAGCCACCCCCGGAAGGCACACAAAAGGCTTCTAATGAATATGCGACCCCATATTGTAGGGTAACAGGAACGGCAGAGGAAGGTCCTTTTCGTGAGCACTGTCCCACAGCTGCCCAGACTGGGCGTTTTCAAGCACCCCTGGTTTCTTTCATCCGAGCCCCAGATAAATGGAACGTCTGCATTTCTCAGGTGAGGAAACTGAAGCCAGGGAAAAAAATGGATCACTGAGAGTTCCTCCCACCTCTCCAACCACTGAACACCCTGTCTGCCCATGTGTGTGTGTGTGTGTGTGTGTGTGTGTGTGTGTTGGTAGGCAGGAGACTCCTGGCGACCAACAGGGACCTTGGCAACACAAGACACCTTGTCGCAGCAACAGACCAGTAAGCAAGGCTGCACTGGGCTCCTGGCAGCCACAATTCCCTTTACCTATGGAGCACATAGCAGCCCCAGGCCCCAAGCTAGGGGTCCCATCTCAGGCCATTGAGAATGTGAGTCCTCCCAGGACACTGCTGCTTCTTTCATGGGGTTGGGGGTCCTCCCTGACCCCCTCAGGGGCCAGGAGGGGTGCAAGTACCCGTGTCCTGACCCTAATCTTGGCTATGGGCCTGGTTTCCCCACCTCTGCTATGCTGGGTGTGTGGGAGTGGATGGCTCTAGCTCCACAGGAGTGGAGGCCACAACCAAGGCCTGAGACCCACCTGGGGATGGGTGGTGGTTCCTCCCCAGGTTCTACCCCTGGCTGAGGACTGGCTGCCAGGAGTCCCTGGAGATGCCCCAGCCTGGGCCACCAGTCTTAAGACAGAGCTTCCATCAGATCTAGAGCTGAGTGAGGAGCAGCGACTGCAGGTGAGTGTGGGAGCCCTAAGGAGCTAGGAGGCAGCGTACCCACAGGATCATACAGGTACCACTTCTCACCCTGGCCACCCACAGATCTCCAAGGAGCTGGTTGACATGCAGATCACAACGCATCGTCTGCAGGTGCAGCACGAGGCTGAAATCTTTGAGCTGAAGAGTGAGGTGGGTGCTGATGTGCGCCCACATGTGCCAGCCTGAGAGGGTTGGGGGGTGCATACACAGGACCAGTGCTGTTGGGGGGGGGGGGTGCGTGTATGCCCAAGTGGATGTTGATTTGGCCCAGCAGGCAGGCATACCTGCTCACCCTGGTCACCCACAGGTCCTGCGGCTGGAGAGCCGGGTGCTGGAGCTGGAGCTGCATGGAGACCATGCAGCCTCAGCAGAGGCTGGTCCAGAGCACCTCCAGGCATTTGCACAGGAGCTTGAGCAAAAGGCCAAGGGTCAGGGACATGGCAACCACCGCATCCTGCAGGTCACCACTTGAGTGTGTGGAGGGCCTGGTTGGGTGGGAGCCAAATAGGGATGCAGCAGGGGTACAGTGAGGCTAGGACCCACTCTCCCATACAGGCAAAGCCTGAGGACTCCCAGCCCCCTGAAAATGAGCTGCAGAAGCTAGGAAATGACGTGAGTATACAGCCACCTCACCCAGGGGTCTGTCCAGGTTTCTCTCAGCCCAAGGATGGGTGGGGCAGTGCAGGGGACCCAGAGCTTGGAGTCTCATCCAGCCAGTCCTGTGTAATCTGCAGCTACAAGGAGAAGTGAAGTGGGTGCTGGAGCAGCATAGGACCAGGCAGCAAGCACTGGAGAGGCACGTGTGAGTGGCCACCTTACCTGTCACATTGCACGGAGCAGCTCTTCCCAAGGGGCAGAGGGAGTCCCCTACCCTGAGGCTGACTGAGCCTCACATCCATGTCTGCAGGTCAGCCCTGGGCCAGCAGCTGCAGGGAGCCCAAGAGGAGGTCAGAATAGCTGGGCAGCGACTGGCTGCACAAGCTGTGGTGAGGCCCAGCCGTACCCACTTTGAGACCCAGGGGAAGGGGTCCTACAAACTTAGCAGAGGTCTACCTCAAGGAGTATAGATTCAGGGCTGCCTCCGTTCCCCAGGGGTTGTCCACCTGCCAGGGCCAACTACGCCAGGCCGAGGCCGAAAACAGCCGGCTACAGCTGCAACTCAAGAGGCTGAATGAGGAGTACACTGTCCGGCTGCAGCGCTGTGCCCGAGCCCTGGTGGTGAGCCCTGGGCAGTGTGGGCCTATTGTGGGTGGGTGGGCCCTGGGTCCGGGGAAGCCCAAGCCTGGCCTGGGTTTGCTGGGCTGCTTCAGGGGCTCCCTGGGCCTCCACTGCTGAACTGCAGGGCCTCCATAGAGCTAGAGGGGAGCGGTATGGACCCTACCAAGCCCAGGCCCCACCCCACCTCCTCCAGGAGTATGCAGATGGTGCAAACCAGGTACCAACAGCTGGAGGAGCCCTTCAGACATTCCTGGAGACCACTCTGGAGGACATCCGAGCAGCACACCACAGCCGTGAGCAACAGCTGGCCCGGGCTGCTCGCATCTACTGCAAGCGCCTGGCAGATGTGAGCCGGAGACATGAGGAGCTGCTAGGTGCCCACAGGTAGGCCCCTCCCCTGAGATGTGAATATGGGGCAGAGTGGCTCTACATGACCTCCTATGTGTTTCAGTGTGCAGCAGGTGCTGGTGGACCCACATGGGGCACCTGGGATCCCCAAGGCTACCTCTGATGCGGCCACCTCAGACCTGGAGCCACTGCCCCTGCCCCTGGTCACTGAGCCTGGCCACCTTCGGAAGGATCAGGCAAGGCTGGAGACACAGTTCCAGAAGCTCCAAGTCCAGGTCAGCCCTCCCCACTGCCCCACACTGGCCTTGGGGCACACAGCCCAGAACCCAGCGGGGGCCCATCCTCGGCTACGCAGAGCCCCCACCCCCAGGGCACGTGGGCAGCCCACCTTGTTCAGCTGACTGAGAATCCCTATCATGCAGCCTTATTCCAGAGGCCTCAGGATGCTGCTCTTGTTCCCACAGAAAGGACCTGATGAAGCCTCCCCGGGGAGCACATCAGAGCCACAGTGAGTGCCCTGATGTGGGTGTGGGGGCAACCTGCAAGGGGGTAACTCATTTATCCTACCAACTCTGCACTGCGGGGTGGGGTTCTGGTTGCAGCAGTGAACAAGGTGGTAGGTCTGTGCCCTCAGGTCTCAGCCTGTATGGGAGACACTAATAGTCACAGAAAAACCAAATGCATGGGGTGACAGGAGAGGGGTTGACCTTGAATGGGTTAGGGAAAGCCCTAGAAAAGATGTTCCAGTTGACCCCACAGGACAGGGCAGCAGCAGGCTACCCGGTGCCCCTCATGGCCCTCACCCCTGGGCCTCCATGCTTCCAGCTGTGCAGTGAGCAGGGACTTATGCGGGCCCGTCTCCCGGGGTTTTGGGAAATGAACCCCCAACACAGGGGAAGGCCCTCCATCAGCATCCGTAAAAACACTGGAGTCACTTTCCAAGCTGGGCTGTGGCTTAATTGTCCCTGGACATGGCCAGTGGGCTCTTTTGGCCTGGCTGCCCTGCCCCCCATGCACAGATGGCTCCCATGCTGGCAGGGTGGGCCTGTGCTGTCCTAAACTTGCCCCCAGCAGGGGATCTAGGTGCCTTGAGGATCTAGGTGCCTCTACTTGAGCAGGGTCACTAGTCAGCTCCCAAGACTACACCAGCCCTTGTCTACCCCCCTCTTGGCTCGCAGGAGCCTGGAAGCTGCATCCTGGGCCCAGATCTACCAAAAGCTCCAGAACTTCTACCGTGGCACTCAGGTAGAGTGTGGTCAAGGCCTGGCCAGGGATGCTTCTTCATACTCTGTCCTGGCTCATGGCTTATGCCCCTCCATGCCAGGCAGAGCTGGAACGGGAGCGGGCACAACTGCTAGTCCGAGCCACCAAGGCTGAGGAGCAACTTTCTGAGCTTCAGGAGTATGTGGACCAGCACTTAGGAAGGTACGCTCTGGGAAAAGTGGGATGGGGACGGGCCCCGAACACCAGAGGCAGGGTCTGTTCACAGCCAGGCAGGGGACTAAACTTAGTCCCTCCGAGCAGGTACAAGAAGGAGATCCTGAGGCTAAGGAAGATGGTGGGTTCAGGAGACACCCAGAAAGTGGGGGCCATGCCTCCAGCCAAGCCTCAGCGCCCCAGGACCCGCAGCCGCTAGCCGGTCGTCAGATAAACTTGGAGCACAGCTCCTCCCAGCCAGCATGGAATCCCCCCAACAGCCCCACCTTGGGAAGTCCTGTGACCCAACCCTCCACACAATGAGTCAGGGTGGAGCCCACTGTGTCTTTATTGTGTCCACATGGTCAGCCAGCCTGAGGATCAGGGGCTCTAGGGACCGAGGCAGAACTGGGTGCAGGGGCAGCCTGACCAGCTGGCCCACCACTATGGATGTCATAGGCCCAGACACGGTCCACGCCCTCACCAACCACAGCCACAGGCTGCCAGGTGGGGAGGGGGAAGCGTCCTGACACCACACGGGCCCCCTCAGGCAGTTCTGCCTGCAGCTTTTTCTCCAGCAGTGGGAGCTGTAGGAGAGAGCAGGAGAGTAGGGTGGGCCGGGCAGAACACAGCTGTCCCCTCCCAGCTCCCCCTGGGCCTGGCAACCCCCAGACCTACCACACTGGGGGCCAGGAACACAGACACATTGTGGCAGTCCCTCAGGCTCACCTGTGGGAAGAAAAGGTCACCCCAGTAGGGGACGGCACTCCAGCCCTGAAAGTGTTCTGACAGGCATGGGGTTACCTCAACTTCTGAGTGTCTGCCCCCAGCCCACCCAGGAGGGAGGGGCATCTGGGGCTCTCAGCAAGGTAGCCAAGTCAGAACTGGAAGAGTGGAGATCAAGTGTGGTATCTGTAGAGGTACAGGACTCCCCAGGTTACCTTCCAGAGGTCCTCACGGTGGTAGCAGACGCTGCCAGCACAGCCTGCCCTCCAGGCATACAGCCTTGCCAGCCCCACCAGCCACGGGTTTAGCTCATAGCCCACAGCTGGACGGAGACCGCATCTGTGGGCCGCCAGTACCTGCGGGCACCACCAGTATCAGAACCCGAAGGTGGAGAGGTGCGTTGTGAGGAAGGTCCAACCCCCCCAATCCCTCTACTTACAATCCTGCCATCTCCAGAGCCCAGGTCCACCAGCTTTCCAGAACGGCCTCGCAGCAGCGATAACGTATGCTCCACCTGCCTCACACTTGCCCCAACATAGGGCACCTGGGCACGGAGACGTGGCTTGGAGGGCTGGAGTCCATGAGCCACTCAGGCTCTTCACATCTCTGATCCCAAACCTAAATCTCACTGGTCGCAGGACAGAACCTGCCACCTGGGCTCCTTTCTTTGAATGGGTTGCTCTACCCCACCTGAAACAAGTCCCAGCCCACAACCAGGCTGGCGCTTAAATGCAGCACTTTCCCGGCTCCACCATTACGGGTCTCGGAGCTTCAGTTTGGGCCCCGCCCCCAGACTTGGCCCCGCCCACTGGTCGGAGCCCGGGGCCCTCACCGCCGCAGGCAGCTACTCTGCGTCGATCTGCCCTGAGTGGTCCCTCCGAAGGCCCGGCGCCCTCACCTGTAGCCGCAGCGGCACCCGGCGGAAGCCGGGCTGCAGTAGGAGCGCCCACACGGCGTAGGCGGCCAGGCCCGAGCCTGCCGCCACCTGCAGCAGTTCAAACGGACCCAGTCGCCGCTCACGCAACTCGGTCAGCGCCTCGGCCGGGTCGTCCTGCTCCATGGCCGCGGAACACGCTGCTCAGTTATCCTTCCCGAGGTCCGAGACCCCACACGCACCAGCAACGACGCCGGAAGTGGCTGCGCCAAGGCTAAGGCCGGGCCCAGGCCCGGGCCGGGGGGGGGGCGGAGCGCAGGGGGTGGCGGCTGGTCCCAGAGCTTTCCGCTCCGCCTGGGCCCAGGATCCAGCGTGGCACTCGCCCTAAAGCAGCGATTTTCAACCCGTGTGCCGCAAGAATGTTTAAAAGATGCAATACCTGACTATTTAGTCCGGGGCACTGACCTCTTTTCCCTTAGATTGTCTAAAAAATGACGACAGCCAACACAATACCTGTCTGTGTGAATGAATCAAAACTATACCTATTCTTTTGTCAGATGGGGAAAAAGATATTTTTGGTGTGCCATAGAATTTTAGCAAGTAGTTTATTTGTGCAATGAGATGAAAAAGATCGAAAATCACTTTCCTAGACCATCGTGAACGCCATCACCCCATAGGGTTCTACAGCCAGCAGCTAAGACCCTGTGAGCACAAGGATAACTCCCTTGCCTCAGAATCCTTTTATTTTTTAAAAAAGGACTGCCAGTGTCATTTTATTTTTAAAAAAGACTTTTATTTTTTAGAGAGGGGGAAGGGAGTAAGAGAGAAACATGGATGTGAGAGATATGGATCTGCCGTCTCTCACGAGTGCTCTACCACGAACAGAACTCACAACCCAGGCATGTGCTCAGATCGAACGTAATCGGTGACCTTTCTCGCTTTGAGGAACATCGCCCAACCAACTGAGCCGTACTGGTCAGGAACCTGCCACGGATCTTTTAGTTCAGTCCACTGGAAGAAATAGCCACGGGATCTCTGCCCCACTCCCCACCCCCCACCATCTTGTACCAACCACTAGAGGCCCTCCTGCATTCTCATCACAATCAATGTTTCTGCCGGTTGTCTCACCTGTGAAATCCTCCTGCTGACAGATCTTCTTGTAACTGTCTCATAGCTTTCTCACTGTCTTAATCTCGACGGGGCTATTATCCCTTCCTTCACTGGTAAAAGCCCTCAGGACCTTTTGACACCCCATGATAACTTATAGGTAGTTCCTTCAACCAGTGTAGATTTTGCCTGGTTTACTGTTGGTTCTTATTTACACGGTAAATATTGGGCTGGGTATGCTACTGTAACTACTTTTCAAATTATCAAGGCAGCACCTTGGCCTCTGGCTACCTCAGCCCAGCAGAATGAATTATACATTTGCTCTGCCTTGTGTTCTAGCCAAGAGCAAAACCACAAAACTTATGCCAATAGCCACTATGCCTTTAGGGTTGCTCATGACCTTGGAATGCTATGGAAACCTCAAGATTTCCTCACCTCTAATGGGGATACAATTCAAAATAGCTCTGAAGTCCAAAACCTATTAGATGCCATACTCCTGCCAGCTGCCTTGCTCTTATACTTGTGCATTCCAAACCTGAGTCCCTGGAGGCTAAAGGAAACCACCTTGCTGATGGTCCAAAGGGATGTTCCCCCAAATGATAATTCAAAAAGGTTGAGTAATACCCTGGCCAGGTAACTCAGTTATGTTATCCCAATACACCAAGGTTGCAAGTTCAATCCCCAGTCAGGGCACATACAAGAATCAACCAATGAAGGTATAATTGGCACAACAAATTAATGTTTATCTCCCCCTCTCTGTAAAAGAAATTTTTTAAAAAATTTTTAAATGAAAAGAAAAACTGACTAGCAATGCTCTAAAATTGGCTCCAGAAAAGGAAAAATATTGGAACTCTAATAACTGTTGGTTTGAAAAAAAATCACTCTGGCTTTCCCCCACTCCTGCCAGAATCTCTAAACCTCCATTACCAACTGTCATGCATGCACTGCAGCGCTGGTCGACTGGAGATCTGACCAGCCTTATAAACCAGTCCTGGGGTGAAGACATCAAGAAGGCTGCAAAAAGCACCTACTTTTCTTGCCCCACCTGCCCCCCAAAAAATCCAGAGAAAACTGCCCACACCACCCCTGGACATTTTATTCATTCATTCATTCATTCATTCCCACCCAATTTTTTTTCATTGTTTTTGAGAGATGAAGGGAGAAAAAGGGAGTGGAGAGAGAAAGAGACATCAACTGGTTGCCTTCTCAGATGTTCCTCAACCAGGGACCAAACCTGCAACCTGGGTATGTGTCCTGACTGGGAATCAAACTCGTGACCTTTTGGTCTATGAGACAACGCTCCAACCCAGCAGCACAGGCCAGGGCCACCCCCAGCTATTTTTAAATTGTCCAGTGGAACATTTAAGAGTTGGCAAATGGCCTTTATTCATCTACCCTCATCTTGTGGGGACAAGTATGTCGTCGTAATGATTTGTGTTTTCCTGTTGGGCCAAAGCCCTCCCAAGTTGACAAGCTACATGCCTCTTCAGTGCCTACTGGGGGGAAAGACATCATCCTCCTGAGCTCCATGGAGACCAGGGAACCAGTTTTACTGGTCAAATATGGTAAGACTGTACTATTTGGCCAGTACTATAGAATTTTTGCTATCACCCTCAGTCCTCCGGACTAGTTGAACCAACAGCATCATCAACACTCAATGGGCAAAATTTGTGGAAACCCTCCAAAACCTTGGCCAAAACGTTGCCATCGGTCCTTCTAAATCTCAGATCCACCCGCTTTGGGAACTCATAAGCTCTCACCCTCCGAGAGAGCCATGGGGTGCCTGATTCATCTAGGCCCTGCCTCTTTTGATCCACAGCTGATAAAAGGAGACACATACACCACAATGTTGCAAAAGTCTAATTATGTCCATTGAAAAGAACCACGTTTCAGTTTGCAATAGCAAACACCATCGACAGCACATGGATACATTCTTCAGAAGTAGAAACCCAATCACACAGAATTAGGGAACGAGCCCATTGGTTACAACAAATTTCACCAGGCTCTCCATGGTCCTCTGGCCTATATAGCTGATTACCTCAGGCTTGAGCTCCTGACTTAGGGACCATTATACAAACTGGATTTTATTCTGCTCATTTTGTTTTGTATACTTTTCAAACATGGTACCTGCTGCTTGTCAAGCTTCGGCAGAAAGGATGCACTAAATGATGCGGGCTCAATGCTTTGAGATGGTCTGCAGCACTTGTGACCCCTGATAAGATAGACTTTAGATGGGAATGCCTGAGCATCCTTCCTCCTAACCTTCCTTGTCACTCAAACGTGACCTCAAACATTTCCAATCTCTGTACACTTTTCCTCCTACATGGAACATGGCAACCAGGAAAGGTCCTTCCTGACACAGAGGAACTAAACTGCTAACTGTGGGAAAACTGGTCAGTGGTGCTTTCAGAAAAGTCTTGATCAAAGTGGAAAATGTAAAGGTGAATAAAGGAAACCTCATAAAATCAAGTCAGGAAGCTTTGCACGGGACACCGACCTGCAGTTACTGCACGCTGCAGACTGCAAGGAGAAGCCTACTTTACCACTCCAGCAGTAGGAAGATTTTTCTTCTTACCCAGCAACAACCTAGCCAATGAGAAGCCACCACCACCCTGAATCCTTGCTCTCTTCCAATGATCCATTGCTTATAATGACATCTCCCAATTTCCTTCTTTTTCTCTATAAAATAACATCTTCCTTTGTTCTCCTAACTTGCCTGTGGCTCACCATGGAGTGTAAGCCCAAAAGTGCACTTCCTCTGCTATTCCCAAATAAACTCATTTTTTTTTTGCTGGTAAAACAGTTATTTTAAGGTTGACAGCGGGAATTGGGCTCACTGGGGGTGGGTGACATCCAGGCCTGACTACCCTGAGTCACAGCCAGGCCCCATACAGCTGTCTCTGGGAGGCTGGTGGAGACTCTGCCAATCAGGGCAGCCCAAAATCCAGCCAAGCCTAGGAGCAGGAGCAGTTGAAGGGAGAACACCCTTGGGGCTCCCTCCCATGGTTGGAGGCCATTAACCCAAGTAGGCAGGAAAGAGAGGATATGCTGGTATTTGAGGGAGAGGGGGCCGGGGAAGTTGGAACTCAGCCGAGGGGCAGGGAGGAGGGAGCTGATGTGAGGAAGATCGAGCAGACACAGGAAGACAGATGTTGGCTCTCTGTGCGTGTGGTGGAAGGAGGCTGGACGTGAGGGCTGTTGGCCACTGGCCCAGCCGTGGCGGTTGGACAGAGAGAACCAAGAGTCGGGGAAACCATGTCTCTTCTCCAGACAACATCAGCAACAAAAAGATGAGTTCCCAGAGGTGGCCTGACAAAGCCTGGGGGTGGGAGAGACTACTCGGGGGGACAGAGCCCCAGATCAAGTGGCAGAGCTGGGATCTCTTCTTCACCCCACCCTGAGGCCAAATGGCCATGAATGTCAGGGGCTTGTCTGAACACAGGACCTGGCCTGGGAACCCCAGCAGGGACACAGGCTGCTCCAGACACTGGCCACACCCAAGACCCTTGCCCCTACCTCCCAAGGGCAGAGCACCTCCTACGCTTGCTAGTACTATGTCCCAGCTGCCACCAGTCCTGAAAGACAGGTGTCCCTGAGTGGCAGGAAACTGAGGTGCCCTGCTCCCAAGACCTGAGCCGTGGGGAGGAGAGCCAGCCTCACCCGGCTTAGAGTATCCTTAGAGCCCCTTGGGGCTGTCACTGTGCCCTCCCCAGAAAAGGTGTGTCCTAGACTCTAGGCTGGGGAAGTCTTACATAGCACTTGTCTCTTTCTTTGCATTATTCCCAGTGCACAGGGCAGCACCAGCACCTAGCAGGCACTCTGTAAAAGCTTGTTGACTAAATGCATGCATCTAATTGGCCTCCTCAGCATACACACCCCACAACTCTCTCCGGCTCACACCTGGCACTCTGCTCCTCAGCCTTCGGGCACTGGGCAGCAGGGAGTGTTTCCGTGTGAGTGCACACACCGCAGGGGCCCCAAAGGGCAGCTTCCACAGCACCGGCCTGCGTGCTCACTCATGCTGCTTCCCTCTGGCCACTTCCCCCAGGGCAGGCAAAGCCCCTAGCCCAAGGCTTCCAGGGCTCCAGTGGCTGCTGGCCACACCTACTCCTGCCCTCTGTGCACCCGAGGAGAGCACCAGTTGCAGGCAGTGTGTTCATGGGCAGCTCAGGCATGTCGTGGGGCAGGTGGATGGATGCCAGTGTCGAGCCTAGAGCCCACTCCACAGCAGCTGCCCATTTTTGTGAACAGGTGGTCCGAGGCAGTCCAGTCACTGCTGGATGTGGCCAGGGTCTCCTCCCAAACAAGAGGCTGTGGGGAGCTGGCCACAGAATGAGGGCAGGGACAAGGGCAAGGGTGCTGACCAGGCCTAGGGGAAGCCCTCTGTGGGGCCTGCTCAAGACAGAGAGGAAGAGACCTGTCTGAGCACTCTCGCTTCCTCCTCCTCTGATCTTTGCTGAGATACTTACTCCCTGGCTGGGGGAGAGAGGCTGACCGGATGCTAGGTCTGCAGTCCGGGGGGAGAGGTCCAGGCTGAAAACCAAAACATAAAGGTCATCAGCACATTGATGGTATTTAAAGCCATGAGCCTGGGGAGGTGAGGAGCAGTGGTAGGAAGCCTCAGGAGGGGAGGAGAGGCAGAGGTAGGAGGAAGCCCACGGAGGCCTGCCTTCCGGGGTGGCTCTGCTCCCCGCCCCATAATTCTCACCAGCCCCCATGAGTAAAATGACCGGTGCCCCATGCACATGCTTCCAGAGAGCCACTCTGTGGGAAGTCCAGTGTCCCCCACATCTGGAGGAAGGGGTCCTGTGTATGGGCCCTGCACAGCATTGTCCCTCTCCTAGCCTCGGCTCCTGCCTGGAAAACAGCAGGGCCCCTGGCTTCTACCTGCACCCATAGCCCCACCCAGCAAGGAAGGCAAGTGAGGATGGGAAACTGTTTCTAGGGTTCAGCCCAGGCTTCTCCCCAGATGTGAGCTTGTTTTTTTGCCCAGGAGCTATGTGTTTGGGGTGAGCAGAGTGATCTCATTCAGGGTTCAGAAGCCCGGCACCCAGGGGGCTCTCAGTCTCGGGGCTGCCAGTTTTGTCCGGAACCAGTGACTTTCCGTGTGACTGAAGCCAGGGGAAGGTGTAGGCAGCAGCAATGGGGCCTATGGAGGGAAATGCTCCTTCGAGGCCCTGTTGTATGTGCCCGCCTACCAGAAACAGCAACAAGCAGGACCCCAAAGGGGTGACACCACATCCCCTGGGCTCTGCACCACATTAGGATACTCAGCCCTTTGCAGGGCCTATGGACAGAGGGACCCATTCTTCCCTGAGGGCAAGATGGTGTCAGGATGACTGTGCTGGGCCCCCAGCGAACCTCGGAGGAAAGGTGCCATTCCACCAGACTGCAACCACTTCCCCCCAGGCTGGGAACAATACTGGCCTTCCTGTCCCCACACGAGACAGCCTGCCTCAGACCTTGGGAGTTACAGCCGCTTTTCCACTACCACTGGGAAGCACCTGATGCTGGGGCAGGAGTGGCAGAGCTGAGGTTCATGTGGCTGCAGAGTTCTTGCACGTGTCCCTGCCCAGCAGCAGCCCCATTCCAGGGGGTAGGCATGAGCCACTGTTCCAAGACATCACTGCTCTCAAGCCTCAGGCTCCAGCAGCATAAAGCAGGCTGGGCTCAGGCACGGGACGCTCGACCTACGCTAACTGGTGAAATCAATGTCCTTATTGGTTATTGCTGCTCCCTCAGGAGCAAATGGTACTGAGATGCCCTTTGGAGGTCACTTGCTCCCCACCTACCCTCCTTCTGGCTTCTCCCCAGAGCCCTGCTCCCAGACCCCTCAGTCCAGCGCCACCTCGAAGGGGTAGAGGTGGTTGGCATGAGCAGCTGCATAGGCACGGCTGAATTCCTGGATGCGGGGAGCACAGCCAAGCCAGGCCTCACCGAAATGGCTCCAGCACATGAAGAAGAAAGTGCCAGGACCAGGGCAGACACTGCAGCGCAGCGGGGTTCGAAGGGAGGCCTGCACCAGGCCCCCAGGGCCCTTCACCTGGAACAGTGGCAGTGTCTGGTTGAGGACACAGGCAGCTGCCACGGTGATGACAGTCTCCTGCAGCTCTGTGTCGTGGGCAACCCCGTGGATGGTCCCATGGATCACTGCAGGTAGACATTGGCCCGTGGCTGGCATGTAGGGGAAGGGAGGCCCAAGGCTCCCCCTTCCCCCGACTTGGCGTGGCTGGTGCTCTCACCCAAGTCACTGTGCACAAGGCCAGCAGGAACTCCGCATTGCTGCAGGGCCTGCAGGCACCTGGCATGCAGGGCAGATGGTGAGTGTAGGCCCCGCCCTCTCCTGGACCACCCAAGGCCTCCCTTCCACCAGCCAGAGGCAGAGGGAGAGGGCAAGTGATGAGATACTCCCTCAGGGCCATTAGGCAGTTAGAACCCAAGGAACCACTTATGCACAAACCCTGAAGACTCCCTGCATTTGGGGTGATGCATGTGGGCTTGTGTGTGCACCCCACACATTTGCAAGAGACAGGGGCTTGAGGGTTGTGCCCAGGATAAGAGGACTCACCCACCTGAAGCTCAGTGTCCTTGTGCATGCTCTTGCACACTGACGGGGTAACCCTGTGGCTCCCCAGAGCTGCCTCCAGGACCAGCCTGGGGCAGGCAGCAGGAGGGTAAAGAGGGCTCTGGAGTCTCCGCCCTGGAGCCAGGAGGCAGAACAGAGAGACCCCTCATTTCCTATGGGGTAAGTTTTGTAAGCTCTAGGAGAGCAAAGAGTTGGGCCTGCTGCTTTGCCAGGAGGAAGAGCCGTCTCCAAGGTGACAGGCCCACACTGGACTTTTGTTGTGTTTGGGCTGGGGGAGGGGAGGGAGGTCGCCCCAGAGGCGGGGCCAGGGAGTCCTGGACAGCGTTGGCCTGCGGTTTTGATCCCCTTCCCCATCCACAGCCCCTTAAGGACCAGGGCCCGGGGTTGCCCAGTCTGGCCTCCCCTTCCTCCCATTCTGCCCCCTGCGGGCTCTTTCCCTAAAATGAGTCACGGGGGACTGCCCTCCCTCCCTCTGACCTGTCCTGGCACTGCTGCTACTACTCAGTGTGGCCTCTGAGAAGCGCTCGTTTCTCCCCGTGTGGTGGGGACAGCAGGCATTTCCCACCTGCTCAGGTAGGGCGCGAGTTCAATGATTCCTACTCCTCCCCACGCAGACCGCCACTCACCATCCTCACCCAGACCGTGGGCCTGCGGAGGCAGCTCTGGACTCCCGTCATCTCGCAGCTCGAAGCGGAAGGAGGCCACAGGGCGGCTGATGTCACGGTGCAGGGTGGCCTTCAGGAAGAGGTCCTGGCGCTCGCGGGGACCCCAGTGCACGCATCGACCCCCGGCTGGGCCCGGGCCCTCAGCCAGCAGCAGCTCCAGGACGCCGCCTGCCCTCTCAGCGAAGTCCTGGACGCCAGCAAAGGGCCGCACTGGCCGCAAGCAGGCGATGCGGAGCCGCGCCCTACAGTCAGAGCTGCTCAGGGTCAAGCGCAGCGCACCAACAGGGTATAGCCACTCAATCCCGCCCTCTGCACAGGCCAGGGCCAGCCGCCCCACGCTGCTGGGCTCCTGGGTGAGACCGCTGGGGACAGACACGCGGGCTGAGGTGGGCATCCAGTGTCCCCGCCCGAAGCAGCCCCTCCCCTGCAGCCGCTCCCCGCAGCCACACAGCTGCGTCCACTCTGTGGCAAAAGAAATCAGACCTACTGTCCTCTGCACTCCAGCGTGAGGGCAGGGATTCACTGCCAGGGCGGAGCGCTCCCCCACCCCCAACCCTAAGGACAGGCTATACCATCCCGCGGGCTCCTCCTAGAGGTGAATGCAGCCCCAGTGGCTGACCGCGGGGTCTTACCTGCCTCTCCAGCTGCAGCGATCCCCCGAGAAGCCGGCGCGGGCGGCCGCGGCCAAGAAGCAGCATCAGAACCCGCAAAGCAACGCAGGGGGCGGCAGGACTCGGAGACACTTGGCGCCGGGAGCAGCGGGTCAGCTGCCCCAGGCGCCATGCAGCCCACTGCCCGAGCCACTTGGTTGCAGAGCCCTGCGGGGTGCACGAGCTGCTTGAAGCAGGTCGACCAATCGTGGCGTGGCCCTGGAACTTTCTGCCAATGGGAGCGGCGCTGGTGGGGCCAGGATGACAATCCGACGACGCAGGAGGTGCCGGGGAAAGGGCTCCTAGCTCTGAGGGCTCTGAGTCGCGCCCCCCACCCCAGGTACCCCCGCTTCGGCCCTGTGCACGCCATCCCGATTGGCCTGCTGTTCTCCTCGGCTAGGGTGGGAGTGAGTATGGTTCCCACGGGAACCTGGGGGCCAGGAGTCCGGTGGGGAAAAGGCTCCTCATGGTAGCCCTTTCCAAGATTGTGACCTGGGCTCGTCCGCCCCAACGTGCGCCCAACCAACCCTAGGAGGCCACAGATACCCGAAGGAAAAGCGGCCAGTTGCTGGGGCTGCCGGCACCTGTTGCAGGAGCCGAGGGGCAGTCCTAAGTCGCAGAATCAGGCCCCAGGAGGTCCTGAAATGGAGCCAGCTCTTCAAAATGAATAGAGAGAAGTGTGTGTTGGGGGAAGGGGGGTTGTGCTCAGAGAGTTCCCACAGCCAGGATTCCCCCTGAGGGGAGGGGCTGGGTAGTGGCTGGCCAGTGGGGACTGGAGAAATTCCAGGCCTGTGCAAAAGGCCTGAGGGGGGCCAAGGGACCAGGGCCCTCAGCAGCCCAGGAAACTCCCAGGGTCAGCTCACACAGGCCTTAGACAAAGCCAGAAGTCCAACTTCACGCCCCATCACTTGGGGTCATTGAGAGTCAGCACAGACTCTCTGTCATCTCTGAGTATGAGCCCGCCGCCCCACTGTCCCCAAACCCCAGCCCTCCTGCTACCCCTGGGCCTGAGGGCATGGCTGACAGATGAGAGCAAAGGGTCCAAGGGGAAGGGGGAGGCGGGAGCAGCTGCCCAGCTGAACCACCCAGTGCACTCTCCCCTGGTCCCAGGGCCCTCCCGGGCCAAACAAGGTCGAGACACCTACAAGGCCCAGCTGAGGCCGGAGATAGTCAGGAAGGAAACTCCAGAGGCCCCGCAGGGCTGAGGTGAAAAACATCCATACATGACAAAGACCCCCTAAGACCGGTTGTTTCTGTTTTCTGGTATAACTCTGAATCATGGAATGCGCCTGCGCACTACCCCTGACTCATTATAATATCATTATAATGAAATAACATTGTGGGACTCCCTTCTCCAGTAGCCAATCAAGAAAATCCATGGGAAACCACACATGCGCAGTAGCTTTGAAATCCAACTCCTTGTACCTGCGCAGGAAAAGCCCGCCAAAGGCTAGCCAGGAAGCATCTGCCCCTATAAGAATAGAATCCCCCAGCCCACGTGCCCTTTTTTTCCTCGGCTCAGAGTTGGCCCACTCCCATGTCCTGTGGAGTGTACTATCGCTTAATAAACCTTCCCTCTTTCTTTATGCTGTAAACTTTCTGTGTTCGGTTCAATTCTTTGTTCTCAATCACTAAGAACCTGGTTACCTGTGCACACCTGTGCACACCTGTGACAGTTTTGGCGAGTCAACCTAGGAGAAGACGCCGGAGTGGTAAGCCCCCTTTGCTGCTCTGACACCCGGGATCCCCTTTTCCATTATCACCTATTCTGTTTCGGGGAGTCTGATGTTCCGTGATGGAAGGTCGGTCGCTAATTTGCGGGCACAGGTCGGGCAGTTAAAAGCCACAAGGACGCCCGCCGCTTGAAGACTCCTGTGATAGGATAACTTGGGTGCGGAACGGGGTTAGCCTTAGTCCCCGACAGGTACAAGAAAATGTCCACACAACGGTCAGGCACACTGTGAAAAGCACAAAACACTGCCCCACCCCACGGCCACTCCCCCAGTAGGCATAGTCGGACCTTCCAAGCGGGATATCAGTCACCACCTCACCTGCGCTATGACTTCCTTTTGCAGTCTCCTCATCAGGCCCACAGATAGTCTTTTATGCTTGTCCTCCCAAGCTGACTTCTGGTCTTTATACCTTCACTCATATCCCACTTGCCTTTTATATATGAAGGGTTCCTGCTGTCTTTGTACTAAGATATCTACCTTGGGGTCATTGATAGGCTAGTGCTAAGTACAGTTGCAAGAATGAGCCACTCCCATCTTTGCGCGTGTATACTATCATTGTAAGCAGCAACATTGCTCAGAACTGCACAACAGGTGCCTGCTGGTCACTGGTTACTAGAATGGCCATGTGGAGCCACTCTTACCTAATTAATTGAGTTTGGAATTCTAAGATGGTTTATTTGTTCCTATAAAGGTATTTTAATTTCCCCTCTCAGTTCATTGTCCCTCTATGAGATCCACCTCCAGTATGAAGGTTGGTGGTTTAAACATCTCTTGAGGTCCCTTCTGGGAAATTTCAGATGCAGGTACAATTTCTTAAAGCTCTGGAAAATTAGATAAAATACTTGATGGTCTTTGTGATCTGGAAAAGTCATTTTTTAAAAAATTTTATTTATTTTTAGAGAGGGGAGGGAGAGAGAGAGAGAGAAACATCAATGTGCAGTTGCTGGGGGCCATGGCCTGCAACACAGGCATGTTCCCTGACTGGGAATCAAACCTGCGATGCTTTGGTTCACAGCCTGTGCTCAATCCACTGAGCTACACCAGCCAGGGAAAAGAGTCATTTTATAATAAGATCATCTTGGTGCTCCTCTTAATGGTTTACAGGGCCAGAAACTATTTTTCTAGTAAGACACTTCCTTTGCCCCAGATCTGAAAGCGTACAGGAAAATGAGGGTCCCCGTAGATGAAGAATACAGAAATGGAAATGTACTTAGGCCATAAGGGTAGAGTCTGAGATTGTCAGGATTATAGGCAATTGCTCAAGAATGCTGGACTGGTTCCTTCCTAATAGTTCTTTGCAGCCTGGACACTCAGTATAGGCAAATGGTGTCCAGGGAACTCAAAACCTCTGAATCACAGAGAAAGAAACAGAAGTAGACTGTGGTGATTCTCTCAAGTCTTTTAGATTACTGTCGGCCGACATTCACTAGGATTTCTTTCGCCAGAGACGTCTGGTAGTTCGGTGGGATCCCAGGGGACGCCCATGGCCCACTAGGAAACCTCCTGAGGCAAGCAAAGAGGGATGCCTTTAGTCTGCAAAGGAGTATCTTTGTGTTTCTTTTCCTTCTCTTTAGGATCACCGCAGTCGAGATGGGAACTACATCTTCCATCCCTTCCAAATCACCATTGGGTTGCATTCTTAGCTACTGGGATAAATTTGACCCAAAACATTTGAAAAAGAGGAGATTAGTTTTCTTTTGTAACACTGTTTGGCCCCGATATAAATTAGGGGATGGAGAGATATGGCCTGAGAATGGGAGCAGAAATTATAATACTATCCTACAGCTAGATCTATTCTGCCGGAGGGAAGGCAAATGGTCTGAAGTTCCTTACGTGCAGGCATTTATGGCTCTGTACCAAGATCCCTTGTTTTGCTCCAGCCCCACCCTGACAAAACCTACAGGCCCAAGTGTTGATCAATTAGAAGATACCCTCCTTAGCTCCCTACCTGTCTTTCAAGGGAGATTAAGAGAACCCCAGAGTTCCGGAGTCTCTGCCCCTACCTTAGAGGGAGCGACCTCTCCACCACCTTATGCTATGGGCAACCTAAAGCCACCAGCTGAGGAAAAGCCCAGCCCTGCAGGACATACTAGAAGTGGCGCTTCTTATCTCCCTACCACTCGTGCATTCCTACCTTTGAGGGAGGTAGCAGGCCCTGAAGGTGCTATAAGGGTACAAGTGCCATTCTCTGTAACTGATTTACAACAATGTAAACACAGGCTAGGGAGTTTTTCAGAGGACCCTTCACGTTTCACTAGTAATTTCCAGACTCTTACTCTAGCATTTAGTATGTCATGGAGGAATTTGTACATAATTCTGACCACCTGCTGTTCCCCAGATGAGAAACAGCGGATCTGGGAGGAGGCCCGTAAATATGCAGACCAGCTGCATACCCAGAACCCCGGCACTAACCAGCCTGCTGCCCAAGCTGTCCCGGACCAGGAACCTGACTGGGGATACAATACTCAGGCAGGGATCTGGAGTAGGGATGCAATGATAGATTGCTTACTGGCAGGAATGAGAAACTGCATCAAGAAACCTGTAAATTATGAAAAGATTAAGGAAATCACCCAGGGCAAGGAAGAGAACCCGGCTCTTTTCAGAAACAGACTAGTAGAAGCCTTCCAAAAATATACAAACTTGGACCCTTCATCCCCGGAGGGTCGAATCTTGATAGGACAGCATTTTATAAGTCAATCTGCCCCTGATATTCGCAGGAAGCTTCAGAAATTACAAATGGGCCCACAGACTCCCCTAGATCAGCTCATGGATATGGCCTTTTCAGTCTTTAACAATAGGGATTTGGAGGAAAGAAAACGGGGAAAGAAGGAAAGGGAGAAGCAAGCAGAGCTCTTTGCACTAGCCTTTAGTAGTGCCATTGGCAGAAACCAGCCCCATCAGGGGAGCTCGGGGAGGCCTCAAAAGAATCAGGGGCAAAAGGATCGGACCTGTTATAAGTGCAAGCGCCCTGGACACTGGTCAAAGAACTGCACTCAGCCACCTCCGGGGCCCTGTCCTCTATGCAAGAACTTCAGTTCTGATCCCTGGCACTGGAAGGTAGACTGCCCCCATTCCCATAGTGGAAAGGGGTCATCTCCCAAGGCCATGGCTACTCTTGAGGACTGAAGGTGTCCGGGGAACAGGTCAGCCCCAGGGAATACTCATATTCCCATCTCTACCGAGGAGCCCCGAGTAACTCTAGATGTGGCAGGTAAGAAAATCAACTTTCTTGTTGATACAGGGGCCACTTACTCTGTCCTTAACTCTTACTCTGGCCTCTTTCCTCCAAATCAGCTAAGGTAATGGGGGTCGAAGGAAATCTTAAGGCATATTTCTATACATTCCCTATCACTTGCCAATTTGAGAGTCAAATATTCAAACACCCCTTTTTGATTGTTTCTCAGTGCCCTATTCCTCTGTTAGGCTGGGACCTTTTAGCTCAAATGGGAACCATCTTATTGTTCCCTGAAGTGCCACTTGAGTTAAGTAAGGTGATGATAATCAGTAGTGTTCAAAACCAGGAGGAAATCCCAAGTTCAGTTCTGGATGCAGTAAACCCACTAGTTTGGGAGTCAGGGATTCCTGGAAGAGCAAAGACTGCATTACCAGTTAAAATCCAGTTAAAACCCAGGTCAGATTACCCTCACAGGAAGCAGTATCCTATTAAACAAGAAGCTTTGGAGGGGTTACAGCTCATTATAACTAAATTTATACAACATGGGCTCATAGTCCCTTGTCTTCTTGCAACACTCCCATCTTACCAGTGAAGAAACCTACAGGAGAATACAGGCTAGTCCAGGACGTAAGGTTAGTCAATGAAGCAGTAGTCCCTTTACATCCAATAGTAGCTAACCCCTACACCTTGCTCTCGCAGATACCAGATGATGCTCAGTGGTATTCAGTGTTAGATCTGAAAGATGCCTTCTTCTGCATTCCTTTGCATCCTGACTCTCAGTATTTGTTTGCTTTTGAGTGGACTGATCCAAAGACTATGATACGTCAGCAATATACTTGGACTGTATTGCCGCAAGAGTTTAGGGACAGTCCCCATCTCTTTGCTAGGGTATTAGAAAAGGATCTTAGAGAGCTACAGTTACAAGAAGGGGCCATTTTACATTACGTAGATGACATACTAATCTGCAGCCCCTCAGAGGAGGCTTCTGATCAAAATACCATCCAGACTCT